AACAGCGCAGGATCCCACAGGATAACCCTTTAACCCCACGAGCAATAACGTTCCGAGTAATGGTAAACCAATGTGCATATACATATCGAGCTCGGTCTAAATTCCGAAAAGTTGTTCGCTTCCTCCGGCTACGGGTTGGACTCTCATCGATAGTCCAATCGACGTTTCCCTGTACCTTTTCGGTACATTAACGAGCAGCGGGGTGGGCGAGGGGAGGGGGAGGGGAGGGGGAGGAGAAGGCCGGGAGCGAAGAGAGAAAATGGTGGGATGAAAGGAAGGCGAAGAAGGAGGCGAGAAGGCGAGCCTAGAAGAAGATGGGGAAGGAACACGTTTCCGAAAGGAGGAGGACTACACACAGTTGCACTTTCCCAGATCACTGGAAGAGGGCAAATGAATATGCCGAGGAAACTTTTGTTGCTCGCATTAAGGGGCGGAGCTTTTTAAAGGGAATAAAAATTTCCTTCAATTAAGGATTATAGGTCATTTTGCAGGGGGGGGGGGAGGAGGGGAGAGGGGGCAAAAATCGTTAAGCCCTTTTGTACACTTCGTTACGAAAAGGAGGCAAAGGAGGATCGATTTTCATTTTTCGATCAGGAAAAGGATCGACCGGTTTCAACAACGATTTCGTACGTATTCTCACTCTACGCAAATTTCAAATAATTATTCGAATGGGTTGATTATAACGTCCGGCTAACCGTGCCCTTAAACAACAGCTCTCGACCGGGTGTTAAAATCGATCGAGGCGCCTACTTAAGTCGTATTAACCAAATGCCCGATTCGCAGGATAGCCTCGAAGCGAGTGTGGTATTCCAGTTGGAGTTGCGGCAAGTACATGTACCGTGTAAACTAATGCCTAATGGAGGTAACGCTATGTCCGTGCAAAAGTGTAGGCATTATCCATCGAAAGTTGTTCGAATTGCAGTGAAATCGAATTACAAGTTGATAATACTTTGTCACGAGTTTTGCACGGGGGAGGGATGTTGCGCCAATCGTGATTCTCTGACTCTTCTCAAGGCGAAAAGGGAACCGCGAAAATCGATCGATGTTTGACAAAAACTCGGGAAAAAAGGAGATGCTGCTTCTGCTTCTTCTTCCGTTTCGTTGTTCTTCTTCCATTTTCCATCGCGGAAAGATTCGTGGCGCTTAGTTAGTAGTACGAAGGTTGCTTGTTCTTGCTGGCAAAAAACGAGAAACTCGACGAGTAAATCCGGTGAGAAGATTAGCTGAATGCAAAGGAACTGACTTGGCGAGGTAAGGAGCTTCGGCTTTAGGAAAGGGGGGAGGGGAGGAATTCGATGAGAGTGCTCGAAAAGTGTGTACGGTTTTTAAGTGTGTACGATAGAACGATACCTTGAGAGAGAATGAGAGGCGGACAAAGGATAAGGTGAAGGGAGGAAGAGAGAAGGAAAATGGGAGCACGAAGAACGGCGAAGACAGAAACGAAGCTCGGGAAGAAAGTGGAAACTCGTAAGTAATAGCTCCGACAGCAAACCTGGTAAAATGAACGGATAGACGATGCCATGGAGCGACTCTTATTTCCTTTCGCGCTTCAGAAGTCAGGATAGTGAAGGAAAGAAAGGAAAAAACGAGGAGAGGTGGAGAACTGCGAAAAACTAGTGGAGAAGAAAGAGGGGACGATGGTAGAGAGAGAGTCGAGAAAAGAATGGAAAGACAAGTCGCGGCCGTTGCTGTGCTATGTGTGGAAGAACCGAAGTTACCTTTCCTTTTTTTTTTTCACCCACCCCTTTCCCGCCCCCTCTCTCCCTTTACTTTCTTTTCGCCTACACATCTCGGTACTCTCTTACCGAGGTGTTCTTCTTGTACCGTTGTGGGTGTCGGTTAAGCTCTAACGTTTAAGACCTTCCAAACAGACTTCGAAGCTTTCCAGACGCACTTTACGTTCAGGGAAAACCCGCTCGTTCCCGCGTGTGTAATATTTTTTATCGTTATCTCGGCAACGTTGTCCGACTTAAATATTATTCGGAATTAATGGAAATGATCAGAAAATTTTTCAGAGTTTTCTATATTTCTTTTTTTAATTATCTTTTCTCTTCTTTTCTTTTCTTTTCTTTCTTTTTTAATTATCGTATGATAATTAAAGGAATGAAACGAATTTTAAATCAACTTATGTTACGTTTCTCGATTAAATATTTTGAATAAATATATTGGACGTATTACGCATATACGTGAATATACATACATATATATATATATTTGATACATTCAATCCTTTTTGTATCCGTACATTAGAGAGTACATTAGGGTATTGATATACGGCTAGTAATTATGCACGAAGAGATTTTACGTAATATTCAAACGGGGAGAGAGGCGGAATTTATATGGAGAATCAAAGACGCTTTTGGTTAACCAAACCACGTCCAGTTTCCTTCGAGTCAGAAGTGACCAACGGAACGGCTCATTGGATCCCTCAGAGAGACACTCGTTGCCTGTTATTCTCCCGGTAATACAGCATGCAATTCTCGTCCGCGCGTTTATAATACTCTGTACATACACTTTGGATAGATGTGCAAATGTATGCTCTGCGCGGAAATTGGTGTTTCGATGTTTAATTTGCTATGGTACAGCTAATGACGGATATTCAAAAGATCGCGTGATACTGTTTTGCATTTAATTATATTCACGTTCCAGGCAAATAGCCACGTTCGAAACACCTGAATTCTATATTCTCGAAATATATATATATATATATATATATATGCGATTCGAGCTCGAGATGCTCAGGAATTCTGCCAAATAATCGAAACAATTATCGAATCATCGATAGTTGATCCCGATATCTCCAATCTCGTTCGCTGGTACACGCATATCGTTTCGATGAAAGCATGGAGGAAACTATGGTTCGCACTAATCGACCGAAACAGAGAGGAAAAAAAAAAAAGAAAAATAAAAAACTGCAAATGATTCAAAGTTTAACCGGCCTGTAATACAGTGGCAATTTCCAAGCCTGATTAATTGCTCGCTCTGGAATTCTTTCTTCCTTTTCTCGAAACCGCGAAACGATTGCTAATTGCGCTTATGTCCCCGCGTACAACATCCCTCCTCCCTCTCGTGACAATTCACCTCGCCCGGAATCACCGGGCGAAAACGTAATCGCTAAAAGCTTTTTTTTCTCTCCTTGTTCTCGATGTTACGATGTTGTCCTTCTGTAAATATTGTAAAAACAAGGGAAAAAAAAAAGGGAGGGAGGGGGATAGTAACAAAAAGCGGTCGCAAGGCTTGATGGCCACCACTCGACTGCCTCGTACATCCACCTAAAAAGCGGCGGTCCAGTGAAACGCGATGCACTTTCGTAGAACTGTTTAACGGGAATATGTATGCATGTCGGCCGTCGTGGTTCACAGCGTCGGCGCTACCGTAATTTTCGTCTGTCCACGACGACGTTACGGGGTTACGTACGAGGAAAAGCGCGGGCGAATTTTTAAAGGTTTAACTTCGTACGAGCTCCCGCACTTTCATTTGCTCTCCTCCCCTCCACAAACTCCCGTCGAATATACGCGTGCCACCGCGTTTGTCACCGACGTTCGTTCTATCCCCCTTCTATCCCGTGTTTATCAAAGAAATTTCTTTTAATATTTCAGACGATATTAACACTCCGCCACGTTTTATATATATATATATATATATTTTTTTTTCAGGGATCAATATCATACCTACTCGATAAATAAGCAAAACTTTTAAGCTTACTGCATAAAATACAAATTTATATATACTTCTTATTAAACGACAAATATTATATACATAGTATGTTATAGATGTAAACTCGAGTGAAAAGTAACGAAAATAACGCGACAGGAGATGAGGCTCCCGTTGAAGAGGCCTTCCGATAAACGATCAATTAGAAATTCGTTTTATATGAGAAAATCATCCACTTTTCTACGTATCTCTTTACAACGACTTCCGCCTAACCCTTTCTTCTTCAACCGGTGGAGTTATCGGGTATTAAAAATACGTGTCGCGTCTATTCATCCCACCTGGAGCCCACCACCACCCGCGCCCTTGCCCCCACGAAATTCAAGTATAAATAGCGCAGCCGCGGCCGCGTAATTTTCAGCGATGGAAAGAGAAGGTGGGCCGAAGTCATAAAGGGTAGGCTTCGGCACGAGGGAAATTTTCATTTGACCGGTCTCTACGTGCAAACGTTGGCCCCAACGCTCGCCGGCCAACCGGCGAGTGTGCGTATTTCGCGCGGGTTTCGTCTGGCATCGCCTCGGTGGGGTCGCGGAGGATACTCGGCCGAAGGGTGGCGACTGAAAAGGGAAGAGAGCGGAGGCAGCAGCCACCCACCCATTCGAGTATTATTGCGGTGCTGGCTGCAGTAGGGTGAGGATAGGATATATCAACGGTTGGCGTTTATGTGGCGACCAACTGTCGAGTTAATATTCACGCGATTCAACTTGACCCCGCGCCACCACCCCCTTCGAATCCGCCACGACGAACCAACGAATCCATGCGAAATTCTTCGCTCTGCCTTTCTCTCCGTCGCATTATGCCACTTCCCTCCTCTCAGTCTTTCCCGTCCACCATCTCCTTTCTCCACCACGGATTGCCATATATCGTATGTATACGTGTATGTATGCGTGTACGTGTCTCTTTGCTTTTCTTCGGGGGAGGAAAGTTACGATAATCGACTCACTCGGAATGATTCGGATTTTATGTATGATGAACATCAATCGTTGTAGAGGAGATCGCAAAGATTAAACTAATTAGTTATCTTGGAGTGTTTCGGATGTAATTCGTGCTTTTCGTGATAGCTTTAGAGGATAAAGATATTTATCGCGTAAAAAGTATACGATGCGATTTAAAATAACGATCATTTATGATAAGACTTTATGATTATGAATACTGACGAGAGAATTAACGAGGAGATTTTATTCGTTCTTTTCTATTTTCTACGATTACGAATAAATGAAATAAAGGAAGATGATAAAATTAAGGGAAAAAATTGCTTCTATTTGATTAATAATTAATTTCTGTTGCAGTACGTATGGTGTATGGCTTGCTCTATGGTATGGCATCGTGGGACATTGCTCTTTGCTTTCTCCTCGCCGCCTTCCTTTACTCGAGTTTCGGTAAGAATCAAATGAGATATTCTCCTCTGTTATACTTAAAAGCTGCGAGTACCACTCCTCACCCAATCATCCCGGTGAGCACACCAACCGGTGAAGAGGTGTAGGAGAAGAAGTTTGAATTGGCCGGGGATACGGGCACGAAAGTTACAAGTTTTTTAATCCCTACAAAATGATACGAACGAATCTCTTGTATCCGTAATAGCATCGTCTCTTACCCCACTCCCTTCTTCTTCTCTCCATGTTTCTTTGCTCCACTTTTCGGTAAGAATCAAATAAAATGCCCCTAAAAGCACTATCGGAAGTCTCCACAGCTTCCGTAAAAGCATTCCCGCTCTCAAGGTGAAGGCGCGGGGTAGAAATTACAAGAATAACGTTGCACGGCTAAACGTTACTTTGCCCTCTTGTTTCCCGCCCCTCCAAATATTCGTTTGATATCCAATTTCTCGTTTCTTCTCTCCGACAACTTCACTCTTACGAGCGACAAACACGTATATACATGTACACTCGACTCGAGAATTTTTCCACCGATTGTGGAACGATTTATTTAATGTCGAAGATTGTTACCGAGATTTAAGCCTCGATACACCTTGCCGTTACTAATATCTTTTTTTTTCTCTCTCTCTTTTCTTCGTCCCTCGACGACGTGCACGCGCCGCGCGACGCAAAAAGCTCGGTCGAACAAAGAAGAGAAACTAAATCTGAATAACCGGTGGAGAAAGAATTATTACCCCATAACTTTGCCCCCCTATGAATCTGTATAGGGAACCTATAGGGAAGCGGTATGCATGACGAGGTAGATTAAACTGGTCGCGCTAAGAGAGATGTAAAAGATTAAAGGAATCGATATCGGTGCAGTGAAACTGCAGATTTCGCGAGTGTCATCCAAACTTATGCCATCGTTCTCTTGCCACGTAGTTGACAGCGCGTTGTTTTTCGTTCATCAGGGGGGTGTTTACGTATAAACCTTAAATTAATTAGATGTTAGAACGTTACCGGATCATTAATCCAACGATCGTTAATTAAACTTGCCCGTACCCTAGGTCAAGCGATGCCAAAGTCTGAGATCCAGCCAGAATTTCTAGCACTTCTGGAGAATCATACGGTCATTCAAGGTCGTGACGTCTCCTTCACCTGCGTCGTTAATCATCTTCAATCTTACAAGGTAATTGCATTCACGTGTCGGTGTAATTAGTAAGTCGATTAGGGGCAACGGAAGGGGGTTTTCGAAATCGTAAGTAAGTGGGTTAAGTCGTACTTTCGTAAATAGCCTTCGACCCTTGTAATCCTGGTGATCGTGTAAAATCGAACAATGGTAGCCAAGTTATTTGCCAAGATATATATTATTATTTTACCCAGGTTCTCTTTTCTTTTCTTTTCTTTTTTTTTTTTCACGTAATTATCTTGCTTCGTTGCAAATGGGGAAACACGATCGAAGTGCACACGTGTGGCGTCGATTATGACAAAGCACGTAGGTTTGCACTTTCGTCGATCCACATCCACACAGTTCCGTCCAAAGCCCCCTTGCGGGACAGACCTGCCGAGTAATTCACTTTCGAGAAGAAGTCCAAGTTTGATTGCGCGCTCGAATCGACAATCGCTTCTATCGCGAGATGAAACGCTCTTGGCGCGTGTTCAGAGGATTTCGTCCTGCCTGGATTCGAGGGATGGAAAGGGACACAAGAGTGGCGGAAAGAAAAAGAAGGAGGTGGCGAAGAAGAAGAAGAAGAAGAAGAAGAAGAAGGAAAAGAGAAAGAAGGAGAAGGAGAAGGAGAAGAAAAAGAAGAACTTGAAAAAGTGGAAGCATAGGGAATCCGAATGTTACGGCGAGCAGGGAGTATCCGGAGAAAAGAAAGGAAGCTCGAAAGAAGAGACATAAATCAGAGTCGCTAATATACCGTACAACATGAATGGGTCTGATTTCTACCAGTCCAATAGCATCCTTTCCCCTTTCTCTTTCTTCCACGACATTTCTTTCTGTTTTAAAAGTGGAACAACTTTGTACGAAATTTGGGGATGAAGTGTTAAAATGTAAACAATTTTTTTTACATTGAAAATGAAAAAAAAATCTTTTATATTAAATATATATATATATATATATATATATATATCGGATTCGAGATGTTTGCGAAATTCATTTTTCGAGATTCGAGGATAATTATTATTCTAAACGTTTATTCTATATCTACATCGATGGATAATGCATTTTCGTCGATTCAATGTCATTCTAAACGCGTATGATATAACAAATGTTTTGGTGGACGGGATTCGATCCCCGATTGTTCGCGTGAAAAATTTTTTCCAACAGGTAGAATTATTCCGCCGGGCGAACAGTCCATCAGCGTTATTTATGCACACCTTAAATTCCATTGCTGTTGGATCAAAACGCCGCTTTTGTTCCATGGATTTAAAAGCCCTTTCACCCGTTCAATAGAACCATCGTTTGAAATACGACAGATCGAGCACGCAGGAAGTATGTTCGTACCAAACGGGATCAAGGGGGAAGTGCGATCACCGATTGGAATTTGAATCCTGGAATCCAATAACAGTGTTCATTCACTCGCGCCGGGATCCTCAAGTAAATAATTACGTTTCTGCTAGAGATAAACGTACAAATGAATTTTCAGACTTATATGCCGACTAAATTGTGATCGATGCTCGTTTCGTACGATAATTGGGAAAATCGACTGGACTGTTCTGTTTCGAGTTTTTACGCTCGTCATTTTATTCTTATTATTATTATTATTATTTTTATTATTATTAATTTTCTTTTTCTTCTAGGATAGTAATAAGATATTCCTTTAATTTCGACATTTGTTCGTTTCGAGGGTAAGAACAAATGGGGAATAAGAGTTGAATTACGCTGTAATACGAGTCTTTTTTTTCTCCATTCTCCTTTCTTATTGCGGTATAATATTTACGTTCCGAGACTTAACGGTCGCATTTATGTTAGAATTCATGAATGCAGAAGGAAAATCGGAGGGAACATTTTACGTTCGCGCAGGGAGAAACTTGTTCTCATATATCGCTTAAAATATATATAATTCGCGGCTGTGTAAATATATTTTTATCTATCTTATAACGTAACAGCCTGGGAAGAGTAAATTTCCTTTGTTTCCCCTTTTTTTAATTTTTCCTCTCTCTTTTTTTTCCTTTTTTTTTTTCCATTCACGTCCAACCAAGCAAGCAGGCAAGCATCGCAAACAGAAAAATAGTTAACAGTTCACATTCGCATCCGTTCGTATTGAAAACATTTATCCGATGAAAATTTCCTTCTCGAAATTTATTATTCATATCCTCCCCGTAAACGAGGGCGGGAGAAGGTTCGAGGATAAGGGTGAAGAAAAGGGTAATAAGAAGGGTGCTACTTTAAACGTGGTAGCCTTCGGCTCTAAACGGGGATAACTTTAACTGCCCAATCAAGAAAGTAAGCAAAGTAATATCTAGTGACGTTCGATAAACGCTAAAACGGCGGCATCTACGTTCTCGAGCTATCGCTCTTGGTAAATTCGAGTTGGGAAACGCATTATTCTTACTCCTTCATCCTTCACCCTTGGAAAACAAACGTATTATAAACGAGAACGCGTATCTATGCGGATATACATACGCGCGTACATCCTTATTCTCTGGATAGAACAAGAAGCATCATTCATAACAAACTAATTCTAAAACGGCGGTATTATAAAGGGTTGAACGGCGTAAGTAATGCGGGCAGGATTTATAATCGGTTGCTGAAACTGCACGGGAACGTTCATGCCCCCGTGATTATATTATGCAGGTCGCCTGGATGAAGTCCGACTCCAAAGCTATCCTGGCCATTCATACGCACATGGTCGCTCAAAACCCACGGTTGTCTGTCACTCACAATGGACATAACACGTGGAAACTGCACGTGACCAACGTCCAACCGAACGATTCTGGCACGTACATGTGTCAGGTTAATACGGATCCTATGAGGAGTCAGGTTAGTGCCGTTCGTCTTCGTCCATGATTATTATACTTGCATGTGTCTCTAATAGTTCTCTATATATATATATATATATGTATATACATAGTAACCTTTTAACGATACATTATTTCTTTTACAACGATTCTTTTAAAAGTAAAAAGAAAGTATTTCGATGTTATATTCCATAATGGCTGTAAAGTACGTATTCGCATATTGTATCTTTTTTAGCATAGCATTTACATGCTAATTAGATCAATTATATTTATATAATATTTATATAAATATCAATTATATTTATATAATCAATTATATTTATTGCGTTTTGTATCGTTCAGTCAGAATCAGAATCAATCAGAACTTTTATACGAAGCTGTAAAAATTTGATATGAAAATGTAACGCGAAAGAAATAAAGAAATATTTCGTTGAAGCGTAAACATGCGGTATAAACGTTTGGATGCAATATTGTCAACACGATCGAAAATATTACCATCGCTTAAATATCGTCAAAATTAAATAAAAATTTGATCACGAGGAGGAGCGAATGGAAACAGACGAAATAAATATAATATAAAAATACGAGGTGATTCGTTTTTGCTCGACTCGTTCTGCTTCCGGTTATAGTTACCGTTACGCTTTACAGATGTCCTTTTTTTTTTCGATGATAAACCTAGATTAAAGACAAGTCTTCCCCGGGAGTCAGTCATATTTGTTGAGGTTTGAATCCACGGGTTAAGCTTGATTTAAATGTTCGAGAGAGAGAGAGAGAGAGAGAGGGAGAGGGAGAGAAAGGGGAGGGAGCTTAAACGCTACGGGTCAGAGAATCTTCTCTGAGAGCAGACAAATGGTAGTATATGATAGTTTGTAACGATCTTTGTGCAGACTGGTCACATGACGGTCGTGATACCGCCCGATATCATGGATTTGGACGACTCGGCCGACCTCCTAACTGCGAAAGAGAAGAGTGATCTGCGATTACGGTGTCGAGCCACCGGAACACCGAAACCGGTGGTCACTTGGCGGCGGGAAGACGGACGAAATATTACTCTTCGAACAGAGCACGGTGTTCAACCAGGTAACATTTTCGAGAAATATGATTCCTGACAGTTCCCACTGCTGACCTTTAGAATTACTTCGTTCAATCAGTGATTCGGCCAAACTTTACGGATCCGATACGTCATTCACCGTTTTAAATAATATAAATTAATTCAAATGGATTTATTTTTATATCCAATTTTAATTTTAAATTAATATGTACATAGCTGTACTATTATAATTTTCTATTTATTCATATTTATTTAAATTAAAATCAATTAAAAATCTTCGTACACATTACGTGGGCAATATTTTTTTTTTTTTTTTTTATTAGAAATATCACTTCGAAAAAGTGAAATTAATCCTTGAAGCTTGAAGGCTTATTTATATTATTTTTGTTTTCTTTCTCAAAGAAATTTTATAACAGAAGAATTTTATAAATTGTTCTCTTATATAATCCATTATATCCTACATACGTATAAATTTTCATAAAAATTAAGTTTTTTAAAGTAGAGAAATTTTTCAAGAATTTTCTCATAAAATACTAGCAAAGACTCGCAAAAACTTTAAAAAAAATTAATTATTTAACGAGAAGAGAAACGTCACAATAATAATACAATTTGATATTATAAAATTCTACGAAACACATAAATCTACGAAACTATTATGAATAGAAATAATAAGTAAATGAATAGAAATAAAATAATAATCTTTCTCATTATTAATTAATTAAAAACAGATTGCGACGAAGTTATTTTCCAGCTAAGCGGCTAGAACAGATAGATAAATAAACATTAGCCGAAATATTTCTATTCAATTTCAATCGAGATATTCATTGGGCGTATCAACGCGAAAGCGTGATCACGTCTGGTCCATCGCGTTCCGTAGAAAATCAACCAGCCGATTAGCCTTTCTAACAGTGAGTGATGGATGTTGACTTTACATATATTTCCTCTTCGCCGACCCCATCGATTCGCATACCCGATTGCAATATTCGCTGTGTACACTGCGCCGCGAAAGTGTCTACCACTCAGAATCTATATCGTGCCCGCCAATTCGACGATCTTCCCCAAAACGTATCATGGGGGAGTAGTACTCTCGTTGTTTCGGCTCCCTTAATGAGCTCAACCGAAACCACCCTCGTTTCTCCACCTCCTCGTTGCGTTCCACCGGAAACCGCGAATAAAAATTTATTTACGGGATATTAAAACGGGGATACGATAGATAATACGATAGATAAATTCGTATTAACAATTTTTAAAAGAATCGATTGTGTGTAATAATCTCGAGTCTTTTTTTAAAAAAAAGAAATTTGAAAAAATAGAAATCGATATCCTCGACGAATATAAGTAAACGGTAACAACATTAACGTCCATGTTAAGAATGGATGTTAACAAAATGTTAACTTTTATCCCCTAAAAGTATTTTACCGATGGTAATGTGGTAACAAAATGAGTGAGAGTTTAAGAGAAATAATAAAAAGTTAAAGCTAGCGCGAAAAATCTGAGTTTGTTGGAATGGGAAGAATATGCAATATGATGGTTTTTAAAAAAAGAAAAATATGGAAGCTTTGTAGAAACAAAAAAAAAGATCCGCTCTTTTCTTTAACATTGAAAATTAGAAATTTTCCGTAAGATAGGATCGATACAATAATAATACATGAATTAACACACGTTATATCACATTTTTACCTATATCTACATGTTTCATGTGACCCACTGATAATGCTTGACGCAGTAAAGTCGTACGAGGGGGAGCAACTACATCTGAAGGGTATTCTGCGGCAGGAGATGGGCTCTTACCTTTGCATCGCGTCGAACGGCGTCCCGCCAACGGTCAGCAAACGATATTACGTGAACGTACGATGTAAGTAAAGTGGAAGGCCCGTTAAATTGGCGGGCACACTGACGAAGAAACTTCCAAATGATTAATTATAGTTTTCCCCGACGCAGTTAAACCGCTGATTAAAGTCTCGAACCAATTAGTAGCGGCACCTGCTAACAGCGACGTCGTTCTTCATTGCTACGTTGAGTCTTGGCCGAAAGCGCTAAATACATGGTACAGAGACGACGGTGAGCATAATAATATCGCGCGTGTTATTTCTCAATGTCTTTCCCACGTCTGACCACGATCGTTTCTATAACGATGTTCCGCGAGTATATGATCTTGCTATAAATTTTATCACCAAAACTTTTCAAATTTTGTGCAGAATCTTGTGACAGAGCGTGAAGATTTTTGCCATTCGTGAATGTACATTTCGATGTATATATATATATATATGAATAACGCTTTGTCTTCTGTAATCATCATTTATAGGATGCGAAAAAATCGTGTCTCATTTTGTTATTTTCCAAATATCTAGCGATAATAATAATAACGCCGCATAACATAATAGATCTTTTTCTTTAGAGATAAATTATGAGAGAGAGAGAGAAAAAAAAAAAAGATTAAATGATCATCGGGTAGAAAGAAATATTGTTGTTATGTCTACGGAAGATGAAGTTATTCTTCTGGAAGGAACCATTTCATGGCTGACGGATAATGTAAACTAACTTCAAACTGGCGGTCGATTGCAGGTATGAAATTATTATCGGACGAGAAACATGATCTAACGGAGATTTCGTTGAATGATTATTCGTATCAGTTGAACCTGACCGTCAGGAGATTGAGCAGGGACGATTTCGGCAGCTACACCTGTTCCGCGGAGAATCTACTTGGCAAGGCTGAGGGAACGATAAGATTACAAGGTAAACGCGCTTTCGACTTTCTACATTTTGTCCGGATTACAGTTCTGGATCTGAGCTGTTCGCGCTTGAAAACCCTTAATTCGACGACTTTTCCCAGACACGTTTGCGCGGAAAGCAATTATATCGGTTATTACGTTTCTCGCACATTATAAAACGAGATTTATGTATCAGAGGGGGGAGAGGGGGGGGGGAGAATCGAAAAGATTAGAAGTTTAATTTTTTCAGTGGATGATAAATCTTGATGTTCTATTTACGGTGAATGAAATACGATAGAAAAATTCAATCGATGAAATTGATTACAGAGTTACATTTAACGAGAACAACTTCGACACCTATCCGTCACAACACAGACTTCACGGATAGATACGGATCGAAGAAGCAAATGGACAGAAAGGGGAAGTACCCTGGATACGGGCGGGAAGGTAGTTCATTGTCGAAAAATATCGGGAATATGGGTCACAACGCAACGCCTGTACTGAGGAGAAACATTTCGAACGCTTTGACGGATGTTACGATGAAAAAATCGAAAGTTTCATCATATCCGGCGCTCGCACCTGCGCCAGCGCATTCTACGCCGACCCAACTGAGCGTTCAGAATAGCGTCACGTCGCTGCGACAACACTCGCGATTAAACTGCGTAGGATTGATGTTCACTTTCCTGGTGATAGTGATCTGTAGCTCGTAAACGGTCGATTGTTTCGAATGTACGAAAGAGTACAAATCACTTTTCATCATAGAGATTAAACGGAAATAAGAGGGGGAAAAAGGAAGACGAGGAAGGAGGGGAAAGAAAAAACGATATCTCGAGAAAGAAACCCATCCTATCCTAGGTAGCCTTCGTTACTTTTTAGGTTAGATATCATGGTTCAGGTTCATCGACAATGTTTTTATATTTTTTATCTCCGAACCGAGAGATCGACGCTTCTATCGTGTAGTAAAGTGCACGCACAATCTTCGAGATTTGTAGGTGTTGTACACGTGCGTGATCGTGTTAAATCGTTTGTATATCATTTTTGTGGCGCAAAAATAACGAACGGTTTTTATGACAATAACTATAGCTGTATGCGATCGATATTATAAATCGTGATAAAACGAGACCAGTTTTATCAGTGATCAATGATCGTTTTACCGATTTATAATATCCCGTTGTCGTTGCCAGATTACACGTGTAGGAAGCGCGGTTACCGTTTTACCGAAAAATCGATGGATATTCGTTTTTGAAAGTCCGATATTGCCACACTGCCGAACACAAATAATTGTACAGTTATTTTCGAACACGAACGAACGGAAATGTTAATTGTTTATATACGTATTTTGTGCGTGTGCGTGTTGGAGGAACCGTTGTTCACCGCTTTCCAGAAATTCGTTTAGAAGAATCGGTTGCTCAGGCATGAATGTGATCGAACGAACGGAATATGATCCCATTTTCGCATACTCGATCATCGATTCATCAACGTTCTCATTAGCAACAAATGAATGTATCGTTTATCAATGTTAACGTCTGAGTTGTGTATCCATGTATGTATGTACGACAATAAACGTTGTTTTTACCAATGCTATCTTTTATCATCCCCTCTTGAAATACCTCCACCCTTCAATATATATAGATCATCGATGGATAAATCGCTTATGCAATATTGTGGATCAGATATATCGCGTATCTTATTATCAATCTGAAATGATATTTCATCCCTAAAGAAATTATTTCACAAGATATGTCGATGGATACTGAAGATTAATGAATCTTATTTAAGCATTCGATAATTAATAAAAATTTCTTTTTTTTTTATATATATACGTAAAACGATACTTATTAAGAGATCTCATTCATACAAGATAGATTCATAAGCGATATTAGCAAGATCTCTTTCACAGATTCAAAAAGATAAAAACCAGATTCACTAAATCGATGAATTCAGATAAAATAAAAATATGGACGTACGATAATGAATAAGAATAATCTTTATTCGCGACTTTTTTAATTGGATTACACGTAGTCCGATTCTCTTATCAAAAGAGGAAAACGGGAGTCGAAGGATACGCCGCCCACGCGATTCAGTTGCGCATCGGTTGAAATATCAGGAACGTACAGTTAATTGAACGCTTGTACTCGACGTCGGTATTCTGTCTCACGGGAATCATGAAGCATTTGTTAAATGTATTTTTCATCTTTAATCTATTGTCAAACGTCGCGGCGGACGAGATCAATTGTCAAATCATAATCGATTCACAGTATAAAAATGTGACGACGTTCCATTGTACGGAACTAACGAATCTAAATGCATTGAACAAAGCGAGAACCAATACTACGAATATAGAGATTTCGGACTCGAGAATATCTAATATTCCAGGGTAAGAAGAAGAGAATTTATATATTGTATTATTTATCTATATTATATCAGCTTAATTATCAAGTATCAAGCTTAATATATTAATTTAATATGCTTATCTCTTTGTTCATATTTAAGGGAAAATAGTTTAAATTTAATATTTCTATTAATAAAAAAATAATTAGATAAATTAATAAATTAGAATTTTGAAATTAAAAAAATCAATCATTTAAATAAATATATGACAATTGCGTAATATTCTGAAATATTTTGAATAATGTTCAGAGAAAATAACGATAAAGATAAATGAAAAAAATGAAACTTAAATCGGAAAATTTGATATTGCATTGTTTGCAGGCACAGTTTCGCAAGATTCGGCGCGACTCTCGTAACTTTGGATCTACACGGATCAGGTATAGAGACTATAGATTCTTTGGCGTTTATAGGCCTCACAAAACTAGAGAATTTACTGTTGTGGGGCAACAAATTGAGAATCGTGCCTGGTAATTGGTTTATGAACATGTACAATTTAAAAACCTTGGATCTGTCGTTCAATTACATCACTGTAATCGATTACAACGTATTCACGTTGCTTCCCAATTTGGAAAATTTCTATTTTGATTACAATCAAATAAAAATCATCGATTACACTATGTTCCAAGAACTCAGAAACCTTAAAAATGTAAAGTTCGAGAAGAATCCGCTGGATTGGGGGTAAGCATCTCTGAAACTTTACCGTTTCCGGTTTCTGGTTTAAACGAGTTGCGGAAAAATATGAGACGCACCTTTCTTTTTTTTAATTTCATTATTAAGCGTATTTTTAAAAGCTCAATTACACGTGAACTAGTATATTTATAATCACAATAATGGTCTGAGTAAAATTAAATTTCTATGCAACTTTATATCCTCCTTTATTAATATATAATGATATAAAAGTTTATATTTTCAACATTTATATTTATATTATGTTATATTATATAAAAATTGGAGTGTTTTTTAAATATTAAATAATCATTTGTTTTTTAAAGCTTATAAATTTAAAAATTGAATTACACTTCAACAATTGATACAATTTATAATTCAAATAAACAATATATTATTTTAAAGTCATTAATTTTTTCCCATAATTTATAGATTTCGTGCTCAGTTAATATGGAAATTGGAAAATCAGCACGTAAAATACGACGAAGATTGGGAAAATTGGGGATGGATGAACAAAATGATCAAAGAATGTTCGGAAAATGTCTATGAAGAAATACCGAAAAATAAGATTCTCGATTGCATCGTTGAAAAGTTATTGAATTACACGTACGAAATATTTTCTACGGAAATGATACAACAAAATGTCGACTGTCTCGTGAAAGCTCGACAGTTGGTACGCTGTATGAGACCTAAAAATGTCACGGAAAATACGGATAACGAGACTGCGAGAAGTATACTCGAAGATTACGCGATGATTCTACCGGTAATGTCTAGATCAAACGCTCGATTTTCAATATCAACAATTTAGAAATTCTTGAATTTATAAAACATAAATATTATATTAAATATATATATTAATTTAATTAAATAATAAAATATTTATACATGAAATTGTACGTTATATGCTACATACATTATATATTATATATATATATATATGTATGTATGCATAAATTTATAAATTGTATATCGAAATAATGAGAAGTTGTATACGAAAAGAAAATCTATTTGAATATAATATGCATCTAATTTCTTTTATATTTTAATTCCAATAAAATTTAAAATTGTAGTTCATGTGAATTATTATTTATATGATGTATGATATTTCCTGATTAAAATTGCAGTTAAATAGATTGAAGTGAAATAATGTTCCCTAAACGTGATTGTAATATATTTTTAAATAGTAAAATGTATATTTTTTACATATTTTATTGTAAAATATATTAGTGTGTAGATGTCAACTGGTTGTAACAGTATATAGACTGGAAGGATCACATTTAAAAATTCCAATTTCACATTCAGAAACAGTTGGATATTTAAAGCAAAAAATATCCAAATTATTGGATGAAACAGATCATAGTTGGAAACCAGAGAGAATGAAGCTTTGGCTTCGAGGAATTTATATGGATAATAACCGTATGATTTCCGATTATAAATTAAACCCTAAAGATCGAATAATATTGCTTCTTGATTATTAATACAAAAGAAAGGTAAATGCTTTATCATATTTTTTTAATATGCAACGAATTCTTAATTACATTAATTGTTGAAATGAAATGTTTATTTTAAAAATGTAATGAACTGCATTAAGTTTTACTTCTAATAAAACTTTGAAATTTTTAATGATTAATTTCATTTTTTTTATGTTGTTGTTTAATCGCATTTTTTTTTTAGAAATACGGTTTATTTGACAAGTTTGGGATTTCATCTTTCTAAAAAAAAATTTAAATATTTTATTTTGAATTTGACTAATATATTTAAAAAAAATATTGAACAAAAAATTAAATATACACACTTGTAATTACAGTTTCGTGAATTAATTACAAAACAACTAAATGTATCACGTATTAATTACGTACAACTTTGAACATAAAAAATAATTACAATGTTTAAATCTGAATTTAAGAATAATTTAAGAATAATAATGATTTTCGAATAAATTTAAGAATAAGATTATTATTTAATTATTAGTAAATAGTGTATAATTTAACGAATAAGAAATATTTTTGCAATATCAAAATATACTTGAAATATAATTGAAATATAATTTAACGTAGAGAACCTGCGATCATCAGATTTTCTAAGTTTAAATTTCGATTTTTAAAAGTCAACAGTTAAAAAATATATTTATTATAGACTTCACTAATAAATATTATAATTAAAATTTTTATAATTAAAATTTCGTTTATTTTATGATACTTTATATCATCATTAAAAATTTTATATCGTAACTATATTGTAATTAAGACCATGAATACATATATTCAGATCAAAGCAATCATTTTTATACAAATATATTATATATTTTAAAATTCGGTTAAAATCTATTTCAATTGTAAAAATTTTCTGTTAAAATCTTAATTTCATATCAGTGATATAAAAATGAATTCATGTTTATATTGTTTCTTCGATATTTTTGTCATCATGCTTTTGGATCTCTACGTTATAAATAATTTATACATGTTCAATTATAAAAATCTTTAAAAAAAAAAAATTTAATTATAATCTATATCCCTATTCCAGCTGACTGGTGACCCAACCGCAGGATTAATGTTTAGCTTTTGTTCCATGCAATAGTGCTCGTTATTCAGTAGCACTGTTTGAAAACATACAAAAAAATATCTATAAATCATTGTTACTTACGTATACTATTTTTATTTTGCTAATTTTTTAACCAATTTTAAAAAATTTATTAAATAAAATTTATTAAACTAATAATTAAATTATTATTTAAATTATTGAAATAATGTATATAATTTGTTTTTAAGATTAACTAAAAATAAAATATCTACAAAAGTAAGTCTTGTATATTGTTTGAAATTTCGAGAAAAATGGAAACCTCAAATTAAAACATTATTCGCGTCACGAAATTGGTATTAATTACATTTATCAAAAATAAATTACATTCACAAATTATATTCACCCGTTTCCATAAGGATTTGATCTAGGATATTCACATATTTTTATTTAGAGTACTCACCGTAATTCTGAGCTATAAATTGATAGATCTTTGTGCATGCAGCGACAATTGCATTTTGTTTTGTTGGCATTGATTCTCCATGATATTCAAACAGAATATGTCCATCTTTAAAGATAATTATCTAAGGAAATAAAGAAAAAGAAAATGATAAATATCAAAAATTAAAAAAAAAAAAAATATTAAGTGAATAAAAATAAATATAAGCGAATATCATGCATACTTTACACATAAAAGCTGATTCATCCACTGCGTGTAAATAATTAAAAGTACAAGTAGCATTAAATTTTTCTTTAATGAAATATTGCAAAGCAGTCATATGCATTAAGGCTATGTCGACTACATTAGCATTCAAGTCCATGACTTGAGATTGAAATTTTTTAAGATTACATTTTTTCGGCGATATATATTTACGATTTTGTTCAAATTTATGACAACTTGATTTTGCTACAGCTTCATTGATACATTTTTGTCTTTCTAAAATTTTTGCAGCTCCGATTGGTTTTGCCCAACGTATTTCCCAACCTTCAGACTCAGCAATACCATTAGATCCTATTTTATAGGCGTTTTATTATAATAAATGAGATAAAATAATAAATGAATAAAATAATAAAATATCATATATAAATATACTTGTCATAATATCCATTACAGTTTGTGCTGCTTGACGACTTTCATAATGTACGAATGCGAAATGATTAATTTTTTTTAATTTTAGAATAGGAATTTTCGTATTTTTTTGAAAGATATCTCGAACCTTTTGTTGTGACATATCCAAATTAAGATTTCGTACAAATAAAGCAGTAACCTAGGAATAATAATCAATGCTATATATATTTTTTAATTTATCATTAAAATGAAAGATACAAATAGATACATATTTTTTTAACAATATATAATTCTACATATTCGTAGCAGATTGTATAGCATATATAATATAAACACGTAACATATTTTTAAATAAAAATATATTTTTTGAATAATTTAAAACTTACACTTTCCATAATTTCTTCGTCAATAGGGTCACCAGGTTCAGGATCAGCCCAATCAACTGCAATTTCATGATCCCACAACATAACTCTGCCAGGTATTAATTTTCGTCTGGCCATTGCAGCTGCTCTATGATCTTTGAATTCGACGAATATGAAACCACGATTCAATGTTTTATCATGTGCACTTGGATATAGATAAATGTCAATAATGCCTTCAAGAATTTTAGTTAATTCTTGCATAAATTCTTCTTTGCTTTTATTTTTAGGTACTCCACCGAAAAATAGCCGACAATTATCAACTGACTTAACGACACCGATACGATGGCCCGGTCTAATTTCATAACCGTCAAGTTTTGCGCAGGCGCGTCTCGCTGTTTTTACATCTTCGAATGAAGCAAACGCATAACCGCGAGTAGATCCAGAAAAATCTAACATCAATCGTAATTCAATCAAATAACCGATTGTTTCTAATACTGGCATTAGTTCATCTTCGTAACAATCTCGCGGTAGACGACCAAGAAAAATTTCAGCACCTTTTACACGTTGCTTTTCACCACGAACAATCTCTGGAGCAGTTAAACGACGTTGTCCATTTTCCTGCACTAATTCATATTTTGTTCTTTGTAGCATTTCTAACAATCTGATTGTCAATTGACATTCTCCTACAGAATTTGCACTTGTTTTAACATGTATTTTCTTTATTTTATCCATTTTAAAATACAATGAAATCACAATTTCAATCACACTTAAAACGACGTAAAGAGGTAGACTGTCGAGGACTAACTGATCCTTCTAAGCTTTTTTCCTTATCCCTTCTTTCGTCTCCTTACCACCACAACTAAGCATAATTCGTCGAAATATATGGAACCTTATTCTTCAAATAAGCCAATCACAGTGATCGAATATCATTGTCAATACAACTGTATGTTTTTAAAAAGAAAACGATAACGAATACATCAAACTTACATTGTTTGAACATAATAAATATTCTACAAAAAAATATATATATTATTTCATATTGTTTTTAATAAAAAATTTTTATAAAAAATATCAAATTTTTTGCAAGTCTGAAACTTTTATAAAATATTAAAAAGTTAGTTCTAGTTCCAATTTCTTTCTTTCGTTCTAAATAAGACTGATACGAAAAAATGCCATTAAAATTTGAATCAATATTTCTTAGATGAACATTCGCAATTCATTCTAAAATTTTTTAAAGTTTGGATTTTGACAATCTTGAATGGATATCAGAAATAATATACAAATTTCACATTTGCAAACCATTTTAAAACCCTCTTAAAATCTTCTTTAGATTTTCGAAGAGATAGATTTTAATGTTGAGATAAATGTCAATATTAAATTCGATAATCTATTCTATATTTTGATAAATTTTAAACAATATAGATTGGATTTGAATATATATTGAATTAATATTAAACGATTTATAATCCGAGATTTTCAAATAAATTTTTTTAAACATATATATGAATATATAGTTTGTAATATTAAAATTTAGATTAAGTTAATTCTCATGACTATTATATATATCGAATTAATTAATCAATATGAAAAATAAATGTATGTATTCAGCTTAGTTTTTTATTATTTTTTGTATTGAAATAAAAATTTGTACTGAAATAGAAGTAAATAAATCATTAAAGTTAACTTTATCTCAAATATTCTCATATATTTCTTTTTTAAATATATCTATCTATGTTCAACTCGTCTAATATTTCTGTATTTGTTTTGAATATTACGTCCAAGGCTAAAAACATCTGTTATAATACAGCCCTTCCAGGGAATTGGCAGTTCGCGTTCGTGCCACGCTCGTGCCACGCTTGACTTGTTGTCAAACTGCCGAGCAAATCCCCACTCCAATTTGATATTCGATAGGTTAAATCGCGGTGAGGGGCGTCATTCTGTTGTCGAAAATTGACGCGATAAGACGTAATATTTCGTTTCAGGTATGTGATTTCTCTATTGTCTATTATTTCTATAATTATTTTTTTACATTTTATATAATTATTTAATTAATGTGTGTTAATTTATTTATTTATTGGATATTATTATAATTAATAATTTTTTGAGATAATTTATTTTTTTCTATTTGACCATTAATTAAAAATAACTTGTATAATAAACTTTTAAAAATGGAATTTAAGTTTTTTCGCATTGTTTTAAAAAAATTGATTTTAATTTAACTTTTTTTTTTTGTTTTATACATTTATTTTAAAGATTCGATTCGATTTATTTTACTTAAATGCGTAATTTGGTTGTAACGTAATTTTCAAGGCGGGAAAAATAAATTTCAATAAACATTACAATGTGACTGTTCGATACAATGACCAATCTGATGATGACTTTTTATGCATAAATAGTAATATTTAATTTTTTGTATTAAAAATGATAGATATAAAATAATATTTGCTTTTTAGTGAATTACTATATATGTATTATGTACTATATAGGATATATGTATTAATTAAATAATCTAATTCTAATTATTTCTAATAGAATTTTAATCTCTGTTGCCATATTTATAATTTATATATTTATAATTTCATCTTTTATTATTTCAATTATTTTAAATAATAAATAATTTTAAATTATGATATTTTTTTCTTTTATTACAGATTTTTTTTTTAACTTCTGTATTTTCTTATTTAATGAAGTTTCTCGTGATGAGCCATAACAACATTGATGGTAATATTTTTCATATCTATTGAACTTTTTTTTTTATTTATCTTATTATACTCATAATTAATATTTTTTTTATTATTTTTTAAAATTATTTATTACTATTTATTTATTAATAAAAATTTTCTTATACGTCGTGTTTTCCCATAATTATTTCAAAAAATATAATTTGAAAAATCGAATAAGCTGATATGCATACTACTTATTTTTGATTTTGCCTATCGATTTTTTAAATTTAGAATTACAATTTAGTCTTGAGACAAACGTGTATATAATTTAAAGTTCTACATTTGTATATGTAAGTTATGTATTATTATCGTTCCATGATTTAATTTTTTTTCTTTTTAATCTACAATTAGGAAATTTCTTTTCTTTTTTTTAGTCTACAACTACGAAATTTCGTTCAATCTAGTTCAATAAATTGCATTCGATCAAGAAAAAAACAATCAATTCATTTTTTTGTTTTTTTTTAGATCTGAAGAACGAAAAATCATTCTTTTTTAATAATATCTAATAGTAATTATTATGATATTTTCATAATCCATTTTCATATTGATAATAATTATTATTCAATAATAAGTGAATCGCCGTTTTTTTTTTAGTATTATGATAAATTTTAATTTGAATTAATGATGTAAGAAAAGATCACATTTTAATCTAGTTTTGCCATTTAAAAAATTTTCTAGTTTTTTTCAAGTTTTTCAAATTTTTTTCAAGAATATTCTAAGTTTACATTTATATTCCATATATTTTTTATTCTTTATCACATATAGATTGTATAGGCAAAATTTATAAACAGATTTTTTAGTTTTTCTCTAGGTAGGATTAATTTTTTCTAGATAGGATCTCTAGGTTTTTTATAGGATTTATTTTTGTGTAAATAGATAAAATGATTTGATTCTTTGTAACATATATTTTTTTTATTTAAATTTTTAAACTATCAATTATTTTATATTTTCATGATGGTGAAAATATAAAATATTGATAGGAAGTAGTATTTTTTATTTTCAAATTTAGCCTTTTATTTGATTGATACCTATTGTGACATTGTGTTTTAAAAATATAATTCTAGATTATTTACATAGATCTCATATTGATTGCTAGAATACCAATATTAGAATTAAATTTAGAAAAAAAAAATCAAATTAAAATTAAATTTCTTTTAGTAAATTAAACGATTTTTATAACAAAAGTTTTTCTTACATTTTTAATAATTAAAGAAATAATATTATGTATGTACATATAAATTTATGAGATATGTTAAAAGATGTAGAAAATGTTCTGATTTTTTTTTTTTCAAAGTCAACATTTCACATTATTATTATAATATCCCATAAAATTTCATGTCTATTTTATATTTTATCTGTGATAAAATTTTTTCAATTTTATTATTTGTGTCGTAACAACAGATGGTAATATTATTCATAATTAACAATATATTCGACTGCTGATATGTTCTCTTGGCTACCAATGGTTAATATATTATTAGAAAAGTATCTTTGTATAACATTTTTAATCAATTCTTTGAGGTACAGAAAAATAATTTAAATAATAATCTAAATCTTAAGTTAATAAAATAGAGACATAAAATTAATCTAATATACATTACTGAAAATTTAAAAAAGTGCTCTCCTATAAAAAATTTTGAGAAAGTATTTGTAATGTGTTTGAACTTATGCAACGAATTTATTATCAAATGAATAAATGCAAAGAACGCTATACAAAAGTAAGGATTGTCATATACAGAGCGTCAAGATAAGCGTGACTGAAATTTCTACATTTAACGTTTACATAATGTGCACCATTTGTTGGAACCAACAATATTTTTGTACAATATTTATTTTTTAATCTATAATCTATTGATTGAAACGGTTGTTAAAAATCAATGCAACGATGTGTATATGTACTAAAGCTACCAAGCTAATTCGAAAAACAATACATTATCCTTGCACTCTCAACAGACATTCGTGTCCACTCATAACATTATACTTTAAAGTCAAATGAAAATATTATATTTATTTGAATTGGAAGCACATATAGTAGGAAAAGAAAGAGAGAAAGGAATTATTTCTAACAATATGCCAATAGTATATGTAGCCAGTATATGTGCTTTCAACCCATATTTCTTCGTCGATTTTCTACGGCGATTCTTAATAATATTATTTCTTTGTTATTATACGTAAGGTACCTACATACATATCCTTCTTTCGTATTTCGAAAGATGATTTATCAGTGCCATTTCTGTACATGATCGAGAAAAAAACTTGCGTACATGGCACTAAGCAACATTATAGAACACGGATTTAGTTATCTTAAGCATATAAAAATAAATTATAATAATAATCATATATCTCTGAACTTATACATGTACAATGAATACTAAATTATGCGTACGTATATATATATATAATANAGATATATAAATATATTTTAAAGTACAATATCCCTTACAGTTACTCTTGATTTAGAGTACAATTAAAATGCTCTTTTTTTTTTTTAATAATACGTACCAGAACATCTAGGAGAATTATCTAATGTTTACTGTATAACGTGAAAGTATTTTTTTATACATAAAAAATGCCCACAATTAAATTTTGATAAATTTTTATAAAAAAACAATAAACCAATACAAATGCAAAAATGCACTTTTGCTTGTTATATTTAAACATGAATCATAATATAAAATTTTTTTTTTTCGTATCATTTCCAAATATTTGATTACTCGAACAAGCAGCAGTATAAAATTTAGCTAACATGTTTTTGGAAATATTATTCTGCTAGGGAACATATTAATTATTTATCTCTTGCTTAAAATAAATATAACTAATATTATTTTAAAAAATATATTACACCAGCAATATACAGTTCTCCTAGACATTCTTGTTTCACTAAACCCACCATTGCATTTGCTGGTGTACGCTTTGGCTGCAGCAAATTACCTGCGTATACAAAATTGATATGTTATTAATCAATATATCTTAATACTTTTCAATATATAAATCAAAATAATTGTATATAATAGATATACCTATAATTTAAGAAGTTCGGTAAATTACAGACTTGTAAAGGCACAGGACGAAACGACTAGGAATAATGTTGCAATGGCTAAAGCAGGTTGAGATACACCCGCTGATGGTCCTCTAACTAGAAACGCATTAAATATTCATAAGAGATATGCTCATTTACAAACAGATGTTCTATTGCATAATATATTACGATATTTACCATTCTCAGCTTGCTCATCTGCGTATTCTGTAAAGCAATTGAGAAAAAGAATTTAATAAATCAACAATTTCGTTATACAATGATTGATTTCAAAATATATCATCTTCGTACCTCCTACAAATGTATGTGGCTTCGAGGGTAAAGACCATCCAAAGTCGTTTCTAGCCATAACGATTGCTTCATACGATCCAGGTTGAAGTCCTTCAATTGTATGCTCGACAATGAATTGATTTCCTCTACCGTTCGTTACCGTAGGCTTCACAATAATCCATTCAGGATCTTCTTTACGACGATATTGCAGCTATGTCACGTAATAAATTTATTTTAGTCGTAATAATGATAAATATAAAAAAAATAAGATACTAATAAAAAATATAATTACTTTATATTCAATAATCGGCGAATAACTCTCCAAGTGCCATTTTAAAATTAACCCTGATGCGGTCCTTGTCATCTCACCACCAGAAATAATCGCTTGAGAAGGAAGACCTGCAAAGCAATTTAGATTTGATATAATTAAGGAATGCAAATCTTATAGTTTCGTTTTATTTTATTTTATCCTAAATGAAAAAATAAGAAAATTACCGGTAAGGGAAATAGTTTTCTCCGTCCGTCCCAATTTGTTCTCCGCTACGCACGTGTAATTAGCCAAGTCTTCGAATTGGGTGTGCAAAATATCAAGAACGTATCGAGTTTTGTTTCCTCTAAGCTCTATACTGTTTTTCTTCGGTAATATTCTCTTCTGATCCTTGAACCACGTTACGTTAGCATGCGGATGAGCATGCACGATACACGATAACCGCGATTCTACTCCGATTCCGGTGTGCACCCATTTCCCCTTTGTCTCTATTTCTGGAGCGTCTATGAAAAAACAAATAAACGTTTTTTTTTTTTTTTTTTATACTTGATTTATTCGTCGAAGCAACATTTAAATATAGAATAGTAGGTCATCCGGTAACGAATGCCTTGAATTCTTTCTTACAATTGACAATGACGTTAATGGCTTCTACAGGTGGAGACTCCATCCCATTCTCGGCCAAACACTGATAATGACCAGCATCGTGTCTATTAATATTCACGATAGTGATACGATTACCGGATACGATTATATTATTATGAACTCTTTCGTTCTGTAACAAGAAAGAAAGAAACGTGAAAATTAACAGATATTTTTACTAAATACAATTTTCGCTTTCCCTTAATTAAACATTCCGATGTAACTTTTCTACTCGCACTTTCATTCCTAAAATGTTTGTATTCCTCTATAAATATGTACACAATATGGTGTTGAATAGAAATCTCGTCTTACCTCGTGATACCACTTTATCTCTTGTATCGGTTGTATGACCCTCGTTTCGCAACCGAGGGTGACGTTATCACCAGCGTTGACTTCCACCCTTTTACCGGGGATTACACGTATCTCCGATTGTTTGTGATGAGTCGATGGTGATATCTGAGGCCTTTCAGAAGCAGCATCCGTTCGTTGCGTGACCGTAGGTAGAACTTGAGGCCTTTCAGAAGTAACATCCACTTTCTGCGTGCGCGGAACTTGAGAAACGATCTGCACTCTGTGCTTGATCGTAATAGTTTTTTTAGGATGCATGATACTGCACTCGTAATCGTCGGAAGTGTCATTGACATTGGCATCGTGTATCACCAACGTATTGTTCGGCAATATAACAATTCTCTTTCCTTCCTGATACATGAAATTGTCGTCTTTCTTCCAGGTGACCGCGAAATTGTCTGAAATATATTTCGAATATTTTTCATCAACGTGATTTGATTTCCCAATGGCGTATTATTTAAGAGAGATTATTTAAGAGAGATTAAGAAAGAAATAATCGCGGAGGAATCGCGTCACTCGTTACACGGACCTGCATTTTTCACGAGGCAATGCAGGTATATCGTGCTTCCGTTCCTCATTCGTATACTCTCGGGCTTTGATATGATTTGCGGTTCCTCGATAGCGCTGGCCGTGTCATCGTCCACGGCGCTTGCGGTATCGTTCGCGTCATCGACCAGCTCATCGGTGTCGTCGTTGTTGTCATCATCGATGTATTCGGACAGTGTATCGTCTTCGGTGTAATCGGCGCTCTCGGAACCTTTCGCCGGTTTGCACCAAACTGTAAGTAATGGATATAGATAATTAAAACATTATACATTTATCGTATATCTATTATTACGCGGAAAATTTAATTTGATAATGCTGGATTTACTACGTTTTACGAATTATCATAAACAACTGAACGAAGATATCGATATTTGAAAAATGATCGGTTGAATCGTGGCCATTCTTCTGAAATGACTTTCGATGACTTTTGAATGGAGGGATCGTTCGTTAAAAATCCACGGGACGATAATAACAATTTCAAATAAATCAAATCAATAATTCTCTCGTAGAACGGAGAGAAGAACGGTTCTATTGTTGCGTTATATAGAATACAGATCTCTAACAGATGTTTTTCGAAGGAACAAACACCCAAGATTTATATCTCTCGAAGAGGCCTCGAGCAACGATCGAGAAGAAGGACACGGCGGTTGAAATTAGATTTCTAGTGCACGATACGCGTTTTAATTTCAGGACAGCGGTATGTAAGCACACCGTTTTCTAATAATACGCGCCACCCTTACGCCCATCTATATCTTTCCTAACAATGCCTCTTCCCTACTTCTTCGCGTGTGACTTACGCCAGTTACCAGGGATCGTTAGGGCACGGTTAATCGAATAAAGAAACGTTAGAAACGGACGAAATGAGAGGTCTACGTTCTCGTCGAGCTCGCTTCGTGTCTACACCCAGTTTACCCCATTTTCGAAGCCATGCTCCGTCCCTCCATCGTTCGATTTTAACCAGAAAACCACCACACCCTTATTAGCGGTAAAATAGATCCGCGATGAAGATTAACAGTAGATCGTTCCAATCTATTTCAACTGTCTCCCCTATATCTTTTTATTCGAGTACAGATTGAGAGTCACAGGTAAAAAGCGTCGATAGCTGACCCACTTCCGGTCCCCGCTCCATCACGCTCGCGTGAACTCGCGTCGTCGATACAGAAGGCTCGAGATCTCGCGGTATCCTTTATTACAGGCCTCGTGAATTTATTCACGAGGGTAACTGGTCTAGATCAGGAAAAAGCTTTTCAGAATTTAGGTCATTCGTGAGAACGCCTCTTCGATAATATTTGACTAGATTTCGAAATGATTTCTTTCTGAAAATCTTCGCGCGTCGATGAACAGAGATTTTTGAAAGATTTTAAAATATAATTTGGAGAGAGAGAGAGAGAGAGAGAGAGGGAGGGAGAGAAAGAGAGATCAAAGATGGAAATTTTAAAAGAGTGGAGAGTATCGTAGATAATAATATATGTATATAATTCGTTTGGTAAGGATCGTGCTTAAAAAAGTGTGAAATGATTCGTGGAAATGATATGAAAGAAAATGATTGGATTATTTGTAATAATAATCGCGATTAGATCAAGAAAGAATCTAGGTTAATGGCTGACCACCTCGTGCACGCAGTTCTGCTTCCATTTAGTTCGTTACCCCCCTGGTCACACGACGTAGAGTCGGTATCCCTTGGTAACGGCCTAGAAAAGACGCCACGGTGTCCCATTGCTTAATTTATTCTCACCATGGATGCTTCCTTTTTTTCCCTCCCCTTTCTATCGATTCTCGATAGAAACGAGATTAAACTCTCAATATATTTCAATAAAATCGACGAAATGAAAAATCTTCGATTATTAAAATTAATAACTGATCGTCATTCGTATTTCTTTCCAAAGTTCTTTAAATTATTTTTTTTTTTTTTTTTTGAAACAAATTAAACTTTGCATTTCGTCACTTGACACGAACACGAATACCACGCCAATGCAAGAAACTGAAGGAAGGCGAACGACTTTAAATCTTTTCGTGCAGAAAATTTACGACTGTCCTTCGCGATAATATTGAATTCTAAATCTTCCTCCTCCCTCGAATTTCGCTACAACGACAGGGACAAAGGAAAGGACATCTCGGTGACGATCTGGACATCCGGTGTTCAAGGTGAAAGAGACTGCAATACGCAATGCATCATAAACCAGGTATTCGAGAAAACGCAATAGAACGTGATACATCGCACATAGAGACAGTGGAGGGGGAAGAAAATCCGGAGAATCTGTCACTTCCCTATTCCTCCACCTTTTTATCACCTTTGCTCCTCGATCTTTGTTCTCTGTCCATTAGAAATTCGAACGGTGACTTCGTGGCAAACAAAACGAAACAATATAACGGACGTGCTCGAAAACCGCAAAACCGTTTTGCATTAGGCGCACGCGTAACAAAACGATGATGTCATCCCCGACATGTCCAAAAAAAGGACCTGCCGCCTCGTGCTCGCGATTCATCCTAACAGTACACGTCATCCTGTCCCAAACGGTTTGCCCTTACGTGACCACCACTTTTCTTACGTGTCTTCAACTCGTCCCTGCCTCGCCACCCCCTCTCACAAATCAAAAGGATAGAGATTGTAAATCGAGAGCGGCCAGTGAGATCGGCTAGAACCGCATCGACTGATCGATGCGGCCTGCAAAATGTCAGGGTGTCGTTGCAGGGGTGCAATTACGTTACTATATCCCCCGATGGGAGCAAACTCGAGGCAAAATTTATGCGTCCTTCCCAACTCTATCGTGAACTTTTAATCATCGATTCATCGTAGAAAAATCGGTCGAAACACTTGACTTCTGGATTTCTTTTGGAACGAAATGGGAAAGGATTATTCGAGATTTGTCGATTTCTCGTCTATCGTATCGATCATCGTTTTTTTCTTCTTTCTTTTTATCTTTTGTGTATCGAAGAGATACACATAAAAGAGATGCGGGTTATATATAATTGCAAAATTGCCGTTACGTTTGCTCAGATGCGAGCCGTTTAATCGTGAGACCAGGACGCTCGTTTCCAGGAAAAGAAAAGGAGGGGATGCACGCAAGGGGCGCGAGGTTGATCTAAATTGGAATTATGAGCGGTCGGCTCTAGCCATCGGGATATCGGTTCGAAAATGTCAATGCGTGCTCGTTCTCGTCTTCTATGCCAATATATTGTTTCTGCGAAATAGAGTTTGGTCGAGCCTAAATTTAGATTCGATGAATAACCGTGGAAAATCCGGTCAGACACCTACGTTGTAAGAGAGTCGTCATCCGAGATTTGGTCGAACGTGCGCATAGATTCACGTACAGTTTGCGTTCCAAACGCTGTTATGAAGCATATAAACTTCTCGATCGTTGCTCGAGATTTCGGTGTGTATAAATCACATCTGGGAATTTTTCTTTTTCTTTTTTTCTTTGTTTTATATATCTCGATGTTTCGTCATCGTCTCGATGTTTATAACTATACGACCGGTAATTCCAGTTCAGTTTATCTTGAAATGATTTCTTACCTAGGCCTCTAAAGCCTTTTTTTTTTCTTTTATGAAAAAACATTCTGCACGAATTTACTTTCTTTTTAAATTACGTCGCGAATTCGATCATCTCGAACTTGAAATTTGGTTTGGTTACAGTGTTATTGAGTTAATTTATAATTTCCTAAGAGGAATTGATCGTAGATCAATCCAATTAAAAGGACAGATATAATATTTATCTCCTGAAAAGATAAATATATGCAACAACATTTCGATAGAAATTTTATTAGATCTTATTAAAAAAAATATAAATATATATATATATTAAATTTATTCTGTGAAAAAGCTAATTGCGATACCGATGCAACACTCAACAAGGATAAGCACTATAATTCCTATTAGATACCGCTACACCCGGAAGTCTCGAACAGTAACAACCGAGACTTTATGTCTGGTCATATGGAACGCCAAGTGTAAGTACTTACGTGTATCTATGCGGCTATGAATGCTCGATTAGAACGCACATGACTTTCTTCTTCGATTAAATCTCGTACACGATGACTAACAACTGTATAAATCCGAGCGTGGTGGAAGCTTGAAATTCCTGATCCCGATATAAAATCTCCACAAGCCGCAAACGGATACACGTCGAGTAATCATTTTCTCGAGTTATCTCTATATCGATCTCTATATCTTCCTCCCTCGTAGGAATGCGCTCCCTCGCGTTTTTCCTTCGTGTTCCCTTCCCTCGCGAAAGCATCGCGTAGAGAGGGTGGAAAAGCCACGATGCCAGTTCCCATGCTCAATTATCAACCTTTTTAACAAAGCAAACACACCATCGTTCCGCTCAATTATCGCAACGTTTCGTAATAATGTTGAAAAAAAAAAAAAAAAAAAAAAGAAAGGAAAAATTCCATTTCGCTCGACACGTAGCGAGTTAATTATTCCTTATTTGCGTCCGAGGCGAGGCATGGGTAAAATTCGAATCGTCGTTAGAAATCGTCGAAGGAAACGGTTAATTTTCTGATTTACAACCGTGGATACCGGCTGTGCGCCAGCAGGAAGTCCGGATTTGCAGAAATTCTTAAACGGCTGCGAAAGAAGGGAGGGAGAGCGTTGCGATCACCGCGAGACGATCGGAAAGATTGGCGAGATATTAACATTCAGAATTTATTCCTCGAAGGCTGAATAAGTAGTTGACAAGTGTGTTGGATGGATCACGAATGTTGAATGGGATGACGTCACCCCTCGCATTCCCTCACGCCTTAATGGTTATTATTGCTAAGAGGTACGCACTCTTATTCCGAGAGGGAACCTTCTCGTTTCACTCGTCGTATGCCGCGACGAACACGTGTGCGTCTGTAAACATCGGGCCCGCGCATTCGTGGGTGCGTGTAAAATACCGCGAAAGGAGGTTGGAATCACGCGTGTCCACGTATTTATACGATTTGCACGCGCGCGTGTGTGTGCGCGTGTCGTTGGAATGTGCAATAAGACATGCACCATGAACTTGTGTGTCGGGGCATGGGTAATAAAACGGGGAGTGCCATTGGCCGAATTGACCCGTGTTAGCACCCATCCAACCTTAGCGCACACCATTCGCGGACCTCCTCGTGAAAAATCCTCGCCGTTCGAGGCGATGAATCGCCATATCGCTGTTCGTCTCGCTTTTGCGAAACCGTAAATACCGAACACGATGTTCTCGAGCTTGGGGTATTCATCGGTTGAACGTACCACGCTTTCTTCTTCTCCTTCCT